GGTTTAGGGTTTAGGGTTCTGTTGAAAGCCTTTGCGCATTCTTGCTTTTGTGTGCAGCCCTGGCTTCAGGGTCGCATGACTCACGATGCTCGCATATGTAAGCATTGCATCGCTGTTCACAGAACGCTTGAAGCAGTCAGACATTACTTTGTGCGTGCAAAACAATTCGCTTGATGGCCTGTGCCCGGTAAGCCCTTCCAGATCCTCAAACCCATCATCAGGTTATGAGTGCCCAATCTCGCCAAGAAACAACAAGGCAAGCTGGAAGGCCCAGCATTCTGGAAGGCGAGGCCGCAGGACCAACGTATGGAGCCGCTGGAGATGGAGGAGAAGGTGGGAATTGTCAGTCTGCTATGCCGAATGGTGTCCCTTTGAGACTTCAGAATGCTGGGGTCAGATCTAGGGATTCTGGTGATATTGTTGAGCGAGCAGCTGCAACTCAAGTGGATGCTTCGCAGACCGGACCGGGCGCGACGACGACACGCGGTGCGGGCGAGGTTGGTTTAGACGGTAGACAACAGGACCTGCCACGAGCTTCACAGCAGCCCCAGCATCCACCGCAGCAGCAGCAAACTGAAGCAACAGCACATCAACCGCAGCTGATACTGAATGCCAGTGTTTCCCCTCCACAAGTGGTTTCTCAGCCGCAACAAGTGACGCAAGATCAATCGACGGCAACTTTGCCACCGCCTCCGGGGCTCTTTCATGAGGCAGTCCAACAGCGAGCTCATGAGTCGGTAGTGCGAAGGGAGCTCTTCCATGTGCAGCATGCCGAGCCTGCCTATGACGAGGGTGGCTCTGAGGTGGACGTGGAGATGCGGGGAACTACCAGACCGGCATGGTTCACAAGAATGAGCGAGGTGATTCAACGCCGTGTCGTGGGCCCAGTTCTTGAGCAAGTGCAGACAGCTGGAAGATCACGGGGATTGCAGTCTCCGGAGTGCTCACCAAACACGGTGTGGCACTCCCAACCGTCGCAGCCAGGGACCCCGGTGCCACTGATGAGCCCTGAGGTGAGACAAGCTATGACCTCTTGGACGGCGAGGCCCTCTTTGTTGACAGCAGCTCCTAGGAGACCAGCGGAGGAATCGTCCAATGGTTCGATTTCGCAGGAAGTTGTCATGGAGGAGGTTAGGAAACAAGTCAAGGCGGCTTTGGACGAGCGAGAGTCAGAGATGAAGCGACTACATGAAGAAAACCAGGAGCTGCGACAAGTTGTGATGGCACTCACAGATAGGGAGTTCGGGAGTGGAGACGTTGGTCACCACAGCGGTGCTTTGGTGGATGGAAGCCCGGGACCTTGTGGCGTGGAATCAGAAGGCAATCCCGGACTAGAACATCGAGGCTCTGTCGAGGCAAGTCGTTTTCCCCCTGGACTTTCTGCACAATCTTCAGTACCTGGTGGCAATCCTCATGGTCAGGGGCCTAATGGAGCGCAGCCAGCAGCCGGAGTGGCCGGGGGAAGCAATCGCCGTGCAGGCCAACTTACACTTCCCGCTGGACTTTCGGCACAATCTTCAGTACCTGGTGGCAATCTTGTCGGAGGTGAGGCAGGAAATGGCCATACGGGTTTCAGCGAACAAGGTCAAGCAGGCAGGGAGGGTATCAGCCGAACAAGCCAACCCTTGCTTCCCGCTGGACTTTCGGCACAATCTTCAGTACCTGGTGGCAATCCCCAAGGGACAGACAACAAGCGTGTTGGTCATGAATCCTGGACGGGACTACAAGGTGCGAGCGGTCATGGTGAAGGACTGTCGGCGCAAGGACACGATGAGACTGTCACAGGGACCGCGCTTGGAGAGGACAATGCCATGGTAGATCACTTGCACCTGCTGGTGCAGGGTATGAGGCAGTTGCAGCAGCTGCAGATGAACAAGAAGGACCATTCCGAGGCTGAGGCGGTAAAGGGCAGCGTGGAGCTGACAAAGATGCCTGAGCCTGGGGATGCGGCGGTGGAGTTCAATGACTGGATGTATGTCACGGAGCAGATGCTGGGAGCCTTAACGGACAATGCCAGTGCGTGGTTCGCTCAGTGTCTCAGGTGTGCACAAGAGGCCTACTCAAGGTACCAGAACGCCTCGGCTTTGGAGCGACTCAGCATTGCGCCGATCCTCACTGAGCCCCTCAAGGACCCTAAGTGGTTTCGTCTGGAGAGAAGGGTTCTTTCGCTGCTCTTGAGTGCGATGCCGAAGGCTGTGAAGGAGGACACTATCACCCATCGCATTGAGACAGTTGCGGGGGTTCTTTATCGACTTCACGTGATCTACCAGCCCGGAGGCACTTTGGAACGAACGGCCATCTTGAAGCACTTGGAAGGAGCCGTGGGATCAGATGATCCTGGAGAAGCCGTGGCCCAGCTACGGAGATGGCGTCGTCACTTGGTGAGGGCGGAGGAGATGTCCATAGCGTTACCGGATGCCAGTTTGCAGCTGCGGGGGATAGAGATGATCACTTCCAAGGTCCTGGAGAAGCTCCCGGATGTAAAGTTTCGGTTGGCCCTTGCAAAGAACGAGCTGCGCCTTGCTTCGTCTCCTACAGCAGAAACGGTGTTGAAGTACTACCAGCACCTCCTGGCAGAGCTGCAGCAGGCGACACCTACCACCAGATCCGAACATGTCAGGCTAAAGGGAGCGACAGCCACCACTACCACAACCGGGCCTGGCACCGGAGGCTCTGGAACCCCCGGTGGATCGCCCAAGAGGGGAAAGAATCCATGCAAGTTCTTCCAGTCAGAAGGCGGTTGCAAGAGAGGCGTGAATTGCACATATGCTCACGAGTTCGCCAACAAAGCAGATCGCAAGCAACGGTGTTGGTCCTGTGGAGCCACGGGGCACCGTCAGCAGGAGTGTCCGACCAATGGTGGCGGAGGCGGAAAGGGCAGTGGAAAGGCTGCTGGAGCGGGAACAACCTCGTCTACGACCACGGCTTCCAATCCCACCGCGAGTGTGGCGCAAGTGCAACAGGTGCCAAGTGATGCGGCCAATTCCACGTCGCATTCTGAGGCGCTTCCCTCTTCGGCTTCGGCTTCAGCTGGTGCGGAGGACGCAACAGCCCAACGGGAGGAGATGAAGAAGCTACTACGGGAGGCGAGCTCCATGCTGAGTAAGATTCAACTGATGACCTTGCGAATGGAGGACACCAACAAGGCCACGGAGGACTTGGAGCTCTTGCTAAGGTCAGCTGGAATGGATCAGCATGGCTTGGCTCTCCTAGATTCGGGTGCCTCTCATCCTTTTCGTAGTCCTACAGACGACAAGGAGCTCGAGAAGGCGAACAATGTTGGCGTGGAGCTAGCAGATGGACAACTGGTAGAGCTAAAACAGACAAGCACTGGCACCTTGCTCAAGGCGGGCGGTGAAGGAGCTCGGGCACCTATCGTGCCCTTGGGGGCACTGGTGCAGCAGTTGGGTTGTTCCATAAACTGGTCGAAGCGCCAAGGCCTACGAGTGATTCATCCGGAACACGGAGACCTCAAGGTGAAGATGAAAGGAAGCTGTCCCTACATCTCCGAGCTCGAAGCGCTGAAGCTCATCGCTGAGATTGAGGATAAGAATTTGGAGCGATTGCAGCAGACCACAATGAGAAGCTTGTGGACTTCCTCTGCTTCGTCAGCCCAGCTCTCATGGAGTGCCTATTTGGAGGCCTTTGCAGCCACCGGAACAAGAAGCAATGCCCTGGCAGCCATGATGAGCGCGGACTTCCCAATCAATCTGGAAACGGTGTCTGAGCGGTTCAACTTTGCGGGCTTTGAGGACATTGACTTGAGTGACAACGCAGGGTTTGGGTACCTGAAGTCGCTGCCAGTAAACAGGAAGATCAGGAGAAGACTGCAGGGATCCAGATGGATTGTCCACCTTTATGATGGAAAGAACGAGAATACCTCCCACGAGCTGAAGAAGTTTGAGACCGAAGACATTGTGGTCTTGGAGATCGACGTGCAACGGTCCAAGATGTACAACATGAAGGGCTGGAACAACGTGCTTCGGGCTCTCCTTTGGGCAGGCTGTCGTGGGCAGATAGAAGGTATCCTTGGAGGACCTCCACGTAATGGTGGTGATGAGCTACGGCAGAAGCTGATGTATGCCTGGATGGTGGCTGAAAGGGGAGCAGAGATCAACAGCCTCAAGAAGCCTTTCCTTTTCATGGAGTACCCGGGTGAGATGCCGTGGTGGAAGTCTAATGAGTGGAGGAACTTCCGGGATGAGTACCAGCTGTCACATGTGTGTTTGGGTGCCGGCCAGACTCAGGTGTTCCACGCCGCTACAAACATGAACTTTGTCAACCACATGAAAGAGCCGGGGGTTGAGAAAGGAGTATCCACCACATGGACTACAGGTTTGCTACGGGCCGTGCGCGATGGTGTGATGGAGTGGAATAGGTGGCCTGATCAAGTACGGCAAGCTCAACTACTCTGTAAAATGGAAGGTCGCCTAGAGGACATGTCCGAGAAAGAGCTCAAGCAGTGGGCGAAGCACGTCAGGGATGGCCACGTGCCATTCAACAAAAGATGCAGGACCTGCGTCGTGAATGCTGGCTTGGGGCGACCCCACAGAAAGGTCCTGGTTCCTTCGGCTTATGTCTTGAGTGTTGACGTGGCGGGTCCGTTTAGGACCAGAGGAATCGATGCTGATGGCAAGTACCGCTACGCACTTGTGGGCTCATACTGCATGCCGAGGCTTGAAGGATACAAAGATGTGGACATCCCCCTGGAGTTGCCGAAGGCTGATGGGAAGAGTGATCCAGATCCACCACAACCGAAGGCCGATGGGAAGAGTGATCCAGATCCACCACAACCGAAGGCCGATGGGAGGAGTGATCCAGATCTACCACAACGGAAGAGTGATCCAGATCCACCACAACCGAAGGCCGATGGGAGGAGTGATCCAGATCTACCACAACCGGACGCCGATGGGAGGAGTGACCCAGATCTACCACAACCGGACGCCGATGGGAAGAGTGATCCAGATCCACCACAACCGGACGCCGATGGGAGACGTGATCCAGACAGTTTGCGACCAGATGCAGATGACGGTGGTGGGGTGGGTCCGATGTTTGAGGAGGAGGACGAGTTTCTCCAGGAAGAGGAAGTTGAGGACCAGCCATTCTCTCCTGATGACCAAGTTGACTTGGAGCAGAAGAACGAGGACTATAAGAAGTTCTACAGCGAGGCTGTCAAGGAGGTTGGCGAGCCCTTGGAGTTTCAAACGTTGCTGTACGTGATACCCCTCAAGTCCAGACAGAAGGTCGATGTCAATGCGGCCATGAGGCGAATGTACTTGCAACTACGTCAAGAAGGACATCCAGTTACCCGAGTGCACTCGGATAGAGCGCGCGAACTCAAGTCGTCGACATTGAGACAATGGCTGTATGAGAAAGATATTTGGGTTACCACTGGAGAATCCCAAACACCTCAACAAAATGGCCGAGCCGAAGCTGCGGTGAAGAACCTGAAGAAGTATGCCAAGGTTTTGCTTGCGAGTTCTTCACTCCCACGAGAATGTTGGCCCCTGGCTATGACGTACGCAGCTCAAAGACAGCGCCTACGAGCTTTGGCAAAGCCTCGGGCCAAGGACCCAGGCTTTGGAGCAAGGGTTGCGGTGAAGTCAAAGGTCTTTGGCACCGGGGGCTCGTATGACCTAAACCCCCGTTGGCGCGAGGGTCAGTTCGTGGGCTACAGCAGTGACGTGAAGAATGGCCTGGTGGTGAGGTACAATGATGGAACCTTTGTCACTAGTTGCCATGTACGAGAAGGTTTGGTGGATGCGGAGGCCATCGCCGACGACGAGCCCGTGGAAGTGGACCTACCTGTTCCGACGAGAAGATTGAGAACGAAAGCCAGGTTGGCTCTACTCACTAGTGCGTACAACGAGATTGAGTCCTATGCGAGAGACTTGGATGTGGATGAGATGTATGAAGTTGATGATGTACTACGCCTCTGGAAAAGGCTCAAGGAGATTCCAAGACCAAGGAGACGGGGCGCAAAGATGTCAACTGTGGATGAGAACTCTGAGTCCTTCTACACTGGCAGTTATGTTCATGGAGGAGTTTGCGGAATCACGAAATTGGCCCGGCAGCTTCCCAACACCACGGCCTACTTGGTGAAGGCTGCGAAGGAGATAACAGGACGAAGCCACTTTGGGTGTGTGGCTATTGTTGAGAATGTTGGCATGGGTCCGCATCGCGACAGTCACAACCAAAAGGGGACCGAGAATACAATCACGGCCTTGAATGACTTTGCCAATGGCGAGGTATGGGTTGAGAAGAAAGAAGGCGACTACAGCTACGATGATGAGTGGAGACAAGTCGCCGAGGGTCAATGGAAGCGTGGCAAACTTCATGAACTACACCCTGGAAGGACAGTTGCCTTCTCACCGGGGCAATGGCATCAAACAGAGCCTTGGACTGGAACTCGCATTGCCCTACTCACCTACACGCCGAGGATTACCAACTTGAACGAAGAAACTGAACGAGAACTTCGTGGTCTGGGTTTCAATCTACCAGAACAACGAGGTGGCCCTGACGAGCAGGATCAAGGTGAACGACAAGGTGGGACGGTGGAGTCCCTATTTGAGCCTCCCAGCCAAGAGGAAACGTCAACCTGGAGCGAAGGTCTAGCTGTGTTGAACGAGGACCAGAAGGACCTTTTGGATGACATGCAGGAGCGCTCTCTTGCTCTACGGCGCCTACTTGAGGAGGAGGAAATACTGCTTGAAGAATACCGGAGAATGGGCAGGCAGGT